TGCTGGACCAGGCCAAACCTCCCTATGATGTGCTTCGTGGCCTCTGCTTGTGGACCATTTCGAGCGTTTCGGTCCTCTGCTATGACAAGTACATCCCGTTTGGGTATTTCATTAACAAGCGATTGAAGGCTATCATATAACTCATCCTTCTCGTTGTTGTTAAATTGGAGAGTCGGAGCGTAGACAGCGATTACTGTGAGGTTTACTGAATGACCTTTGAATCGTGCTACTGCAATCCCAGAGGCTATCGGTTTCCAGGAAAGTAAAGCACTATTAGCTCGACGGCTTAAAGCAAGAACCACTCCGTTTTGACCCGACGTTTCGTTGCCGCAGTGATACAGCCAGTAATGGCTATCAATACCGGGGATTTTGATACTTTTGGAGCCGGAGCCCGCCAATCTGACTTATGAGAGGCATGTAATATCCAGCTGATAGTCATGTAGCGCTCGAATCGTTAGTGCCTGACTCCCGGCACCTAAGAGTGTTCTTACTTTCCAGCATCCAACGTGAGAAGTTTTGTGTAGTTGGAGGTGTCCAGTGCGCATACTTGTCACCCGGGCCACTGGAGGAGCACAGGGCGCGTCGCTTCCCGGGAACGCTGTTACGTGATTAGCAAGACAGGGTTAGCTGTATGATACCAAGTTGTCTAGGAACGAGGTCGGAAGTGCTAAGGTAAAGTGAGTCAAGGGTAGAGTTATCAGTATATTTGATCGACAGAGTCATTGCGTACAGGCAGAAAGTCTAATTAAGTGTCGAGTGAAGGAAATAATATGTCACCTTGAAGAGCCCCTTAGTCGCAAATTAAGGGCAAGGAGACTTTACTACGGCGGTTTCCGACTAGAAATATAATGTCAAGAAGGTACTGTGTACAACGTGAGTGGAGGGGAAATCGTAATCTGCAAGAATACAAAGAGACCGTTCTGTATTAAAACCTCAAAGTGCATCGCTGCAACCTAGTTTACATCTTTTCACTTTTCATCAAGGTATGACAATATAGTTATGGTGATTGAGCATAAACTTTGAAGTCTTTTGTTTTATTGAACACAATATCCTTGTACATTCCGATTTTTCGCTGATTACAGTTCGATTCCGTTGTTGAGTTGTGTGTTCTGATTTCTTTTCGAGTCCTGTTTCTGAGTTGGACTATTACTGGGCGGATTTCAATACGTATCCGAATTACTAATCCGAGTGCTAAGTATAACAATAGTGCACTACGGAAGCTACAGATGGTAACGCTTGGAAAAGTAAGCAAATTGATTAGAATCAATGTTGTTCCACTGGGGCAAAACCTGCGTAAGTGTATGCTTCTAGACACAAACAGGGCGGAAGAAGAATAGGCTATGGGACGAAAGTTCACAGCGTCTCTCTAAGGAATTGGTATAAAACCCATAACGAACATCATCAACATTACCTGGTGCCTGTGAAAAAACGAATGGGCTAATCCAAACATTCACCATCTGAATTGGTATAATACTCAGTTTTTCAATCAATCTTGAGCCGGGTGACGAAAATACTATCCACCACTAAATTGGAGTCACAGTGACAGACATCATCATGGTACAGCGAAATACAGGGACGCGAAGTTCACTGATCGCTTCCAAACTCGCAATGCACGTGCATTGGGGTTTGATGGACGGTTACTGCTAGGGTGTCCAGCCACTAAGCAGGACAGCGACAGTGCTCGAATGTCTGACTTAAAATTCGAAAGCACTCCAGGGAGAACAATTTAAACTGCTTGAAAACCACTACCAACGTCCAGTCGGTCATCTATTTACATGATGGAATACAGCGCGAATCGCCACACAATGTTTAATCCGGTGGTCGAAAGGCAGGTAATAAAGATAAGACGGGCTTCGGCAGACTTGTATCATCCTTTAAACGGAAAAGAAAATTACTGATTTTAAGGTACAACGGCTTTATCCTGTCTGATTATCTTTCCCGGGGTTACTGATCGTGTGACGTCTTCAATGGACGTAAGTTATCTTACAATGGTGTTTTAATTAACCTATGCAATTGCGCAGGCATGCGTACGGTTTTATTCAAAGGTGGAATTTATATTTGCTATTATTTTTAAACAGCACAACACCAGTGACGATTCCAAATTATGTTTATGAATGATAATGAATTGCTCTTACGGATGGCTGAGGGGGAGGGCACTTTTGAATACTACACAACTTTGTTGTAAGTCACTAACGGATCTCTCCAATGGCGCAATAAGTTGGACTGTTTTTATTCTTCTAATGAGAACTAAAAATCACAGTTCTTGTCATCAGTGAGAAAAACAAATAAGCGAATATGAATTTCTTTTTTGCATGCCGTATACAAAGCTTCCATATTTATTTCGACTCAATTATTTATTCTGACTCTAGACAAAAAAGTCAAATGTCACGTTGGTCTCCTCCAAACCAGGTAGTGAGCCAGCAAAACGACCTTTGGAGGACTCGACAGCCTCAGTTGAGACAAAACCGGTGACAAATGGAATAGACGAGGCCGGATCTTGCAAGGCAGAATCGCATTCTGTGCGTGAAGATGATCGAGACGAGGAGAAAACGCCCTCGACAAATTCCATGTCCGAGAAGGACAAAATTAGCCGAGATATGAGTAACGCTGGTTCCCAGTCTGATCGTTTCGAAACCGTATCGGAACCGATAAAGGTGAGAAAAGTATGGTTTAGGCTCTGTCATTTACTTCTTTATGGACCCTTTGATGTGCACAACCCGACGCATACTTGGAAGGTACCGTTTTTCATGATGCACGTTTATGTCAAATTGAGCTGTTTCATTTTTCTCTTCTTAGAATCTATTTCAACTCTCAAGTGAGTCCTTTGACGCATTTGTGACGAACACATTGTCGGAGCTCGAAACGCTGAGCGTGGAGGAAATGTACAAACGCTTCTTCAACCAAGCGAATTCCAAGCGGTCCACAGGCCAGGAAACCACCAAGATAAATATTTCTACATCAAGAATCAATCGACCGGTTTCTGCCTGCAGACCGTGTGCCTTAAAACGTACTAAACAAAGTAACGTAGGCTGCGAAACCAGTGGAGGACTCTTTTCCACAATCAATGAGAAAGCGGAAGACCTATCACAGACTAAGCAGGAGGTAACGTTTACCGTTCTTCATCCTCTTAAGCGATTTGAAAAACCTTGCGTCACCATACTAATATTACCGTTTTGACCTTTTACTATCCTCCGGTAACCAACTACAACTAACATTTACAGTTCTTGATCGTATTCTTCATCATCGATTACGCTAGTTGGGACATGTCCTGCGCATGTCACCAGATAGATTACCACGGCGAGCGATGTTTGCCGAGGCAGGTAACGGTTGGTGAAGGGTGGTCAAGCTAAGACCTGGCATGAGGGTATGAAAACCCTGACCAGGACACTGGGTCACATAGGTCCCGTTAGGCTCCCTAGCTGGGGATCCCGAAATTATGGTCACCGATGAGACACTGAGCGAAATGGCTGGATATAGCGAATAATGGCGCTCACGTACCTACTCATTATTCTTGTAACTTCACTCTGTATAAATGCATTATCTTCTGCTTGAATCTGCTTTCAACATTCTAACCATCATTCTGCTGTTTTATCCAAATGGGCAACCAAAACCGGCGCACGAATGCGCATGGTTAATGGTTTTAAGAACTGAACTGAGCTCATCGATTGTGTCGCTGTGTTCCCAATATTGATGTTATCCACTCGTTGAAATAACCCTGCAATGCATCCCATTATTTCACTTCACGTTTCCTTGGCCTCAAATACTTTGTGAAATTCAGTTATAAATGTTTAATTCCGTGGGCATACTCTGGGACTTTCTTTGTGTAGGTACACAAACTTGAGTAATGTGTGATATTTCAAATGGCTAGTTTAAGAAAATTATGCTATTCGGCGAGTAAAAAATAAGTAAAAACAAGTATGTAAACCAAGTAAAAAATAAAAAAAAATAAAAATAAAATAACGTCCCGTAAAGGAACACTAATGTCCTTATGCCCCCTAAAACGGATTGTTTTTTGTTCTGGTTGTGTTTTTCCTTTCAACCCATAATTATTTTATCACCGTATTTGTAGAGGTTATATATATATATATATATATATATATATACATATATATATATATATATATGTATATAGTTCGTATAGCATTGTATGAACTGAACGATGGTTGTACTTAGAATATCAAACCAACGTCAAAGTCGTAACATTTTAAATGAACGTTTTCAGATCTCCGTGACAACAGAAGACAACTTCAACGCCCTGGTCCGGCAGATATTGTATGAAGCGGAAAGGCGTACACCGAGGCAAATGTATGATAGATACCTTCTGCCGATTATCAATCAAGAGGATGAAAACTTGGATGTTCTCGATGTGCCCAGGGCGATATCTGTGGAAAATCAGCATTGTGAAGTCCCCATGTTACCAAAGAAAACTCCAAAGATAGCCAATTACAACGTATCTTCATCTGCATCTGTCTCAACCGGAGGTCAGCGATCGAGGACCGAAAATATGAAAGTTGACAATGAGATGTCGGAAGGGCAGACTATCAGTGAGTAACCTTTTGTTAATTATGAGTGACTCCCACTTTATTCGCACAACGTTCCCAGAAAAGAGAAAGAGTTGAGTAATGAGTGACTTATTCGACTAGCTACTAGTGTTTTATAGTATCGTAAACAAAAACTCAGAATCATTTGTGGCTCTTTTGTTGTCTTAGACTGTAACATGATATACAATAGAAAAAAACAGAAGAAAAATAAACAAAGATAATATTTTTGAATCAATTCAATAATCAGAGCCTGCATCCAAATGATGAATCAAGCGCAGACCTTGAAGACTTGCAGCTAATACGACTGAAGCAACTGAAATGCTGAGATGCTTCCTATTCAAGATGAATGGACGAGAACAGTGAATGAAGGGCATGCGGCGAATGTGATTTATCTGTACTTCTCGAAAACATTTGATCGGGTAAACCACCAAATTCCGTTGCAAAAGCTTTACAATTACGGCATTCGAGGTATCGTGCTTGATTGGATGTGAACATTTCTCCGACAGCGGACCATACCAGTCCCTGTTTTTGATCCCTTATCTGCTTCTATCAACGTTACCTGCAGTGTTACACAGGAGTCTGTACTTGGCCCCCGACTTTTCCCCGCATTCACAGATTCACCGAATGTGCTAGGGCGAAAAATCCTGTTTGCAGATGACGTCGAAATCTAAGACAGAGCTCGATGGTTCGCCATCACCTCAAGAAATAGTTAATACAGCTTATCAATGGTCAATGGAGAGCGAAATTGAATTAAACTTTTCTGAATAGAACGTCCTATCCCTACACCACGTAAGTAGATTCCATTATCTCCTCGCAAATCAATAGCTGCCACATACCCCAAGTGAGAAGGACATGGGTAATATTGTTCAAGAAGACTTAAGCTTCTCGATTAATTGCGCCAGAGTTTCATCCGTTGCTGTGAAGAACATCGGCTTGCTTTGGAGCGTCTTTGGTTGGTTTGAATCAGCACTTTCAGTATACATTCGACCAAATACAGTGTACACCATCCAAACCCGGAGCCCATGATTACAACGCGATCATGAGATGTTGGAGTGTTCATAAATGATTTCCAATCAGATGGTCAGTAGATTGCACTGCCTCACCTACAGGGACTATGTCGAACCTATTTTCTACTCAGTACAACAAAATTAGAGGAGACTTTATTTTAGTGTACCAAATATTGCAGTACCTCCGCTGCACGTGCTGTCGCCCAATGTACATCTTAGGAGAAATTGTTTCAAGTTACTGAATCCAAGCTGTTGACTTGAATACCAGCCAAATTAGTTGAGGACTATATTGTGTTAACTCCTACCCGGAACGATATGTGATATTTATCATTTTTGAACAGAAGCGATTCCATGGGGTAAAGCTCCAATGAGGCCAAGATAATCATGGGTTTTTAGGTAATTTCTATAATAAAACTTTAACCTTCAGCTTTGATATTCAACGAGCAACACTGAGCTCATTATTTTCACAAAGAGGGCGGATGGTGTGAAAGGTACAATGGCTCAAACGTAAAACCACAGAAAATATCAGGTTTAACACACCCTCCAAGCTGATTACGAGTTTTGGCACGTTGACTTTACCCACAACAGAAGAGAAAAGATATTCAACTACAATCCCCAATGCCGGTTGAATCAATGAAACCCAAGGAATATTGGGTCCGCTGTATCCAATTCTTTGCCACAGAGAGAAGAAGCACTGCGGGATGTTAAAACTTCTTTTTATCTCCTCAGTCGCTGCAACCTAAAACAATCCGGTATTTGTACGAGTGAGTTTTGATAACCATAGTGGTTAAACTGGCAACTGTTTGGGGAGGGGGAATCGGAATCAATGCCACGGCAATTTAATTGATTGCGTCGGTAACGCTTGTGTACACAAGATTGGATTACGTACCTTGATTAACATCGCTTCGTTGCAAGCCTTGGATTCAAGGGTTTGAATGACAAAAGTGGGTCGAAGATGTGTCCAGTTTTCATGAGATTTCTCTTTTCCCCTTAGCAAATGTACCTCCGAGATTTGGTTTTGTCATTGACTGTAATAACCACTTGGGGATGTGTTCGGACATCCATTGTGACAGGGACCGATTCGTTTTTGCCGATATAAGGATCACCGCAACTCCAGGTGGACTGATAGATAACATGTGAAGGCGAATTGGGCGGCTGGCTCTGTTTTCGGTTTGCCAGGAAAATTCCATAGATGTATCAGTCGAAGTAGTGCGGCAGAAAATGTTCGACACAATGTGGCCTTTAGCTTCTGACACGCGTTGTTCATCAGATGATGACTCTTAAAGATTAGTCTGAGGTAGACGTATTTATTCGATTCTTTGCAGACGAGATCAATCGGGTGACCTTCGTCTACTATTCACATCAATAAATTTATCTGGATAACCATTATCCAATAGCGTCCTTCGTAGAGAGGCCTCTTCTTCTTGGATCGTGTCAGTGGAGCAAATGGTCCTGGCGCGATGGAACAGGGTTTCCACCAAACCCCTTTTATATGCTACAGGAGCAAAACTAATAAATTTTAAGTATTGTGCTTTCAATCTGGTCATCTAATCTGATCTCCTCCTGATTTTTATATCTAAAATATTCAAATAACCATCCTTCTCTTCCTCAAAGGAAACAAAGCGATTGTAATGAATGGTATTAAGCAGAGTAAAAATGGCCTATTTCATGATAGAAATAGGGAGAGCAACTGCAACTCCACAAAATCGGGATGAGGAGTTCAGGCATAGGACCCGAGCGACTGACTACTCCCACCAGATGAAAGGGAAAACGGGGGGATTTGGAATTAATTGTGTGGTACACAAATTCCACGAGTATCGGGAACAAATGGACCGATCCAAGAGCGTGAGCGGGCAAGGAAGATGTGGTTGTAATCACAAAGGCACGACTGTTACACCCCTACCAGAGTGGGTCGATAGGATGGTTGGGTTGGTGTGTGTGTGTGGTGATGGTACTTGTAGTCACCCACCACAGCCAACATGAAGGGCGTCGCCTTAGCATCCCAAATGTGCAAGCACTGGAGGTGGTAGTGCAAACTCTACAGCACTCGTTATCGGTAATGGGTGTCCACAGTAGCCGATCAGCGACGGCAGAGGAAAACCTTTTGCTACTAGAGCTGTTGGTCGATTGGTCTGGATCAAATGGTAGTGTGCTATTAATAGGAGACTTAAACGTCCCCGAGATCGATTACATTACCGAAACAGCCCTTTGTGGTCGTTTGGGGAAAGCCTACTTTGAATGTTTCATCGAAAGGCTCTGATTCAGCATACCACCAGGAAGATCAGATGGAGGTTCTGTCAGAGAGTTTCTACTCTGGACCTGGTGTGCACCATGTTCCCCAACGTAGTCAGGGGAATAGTCATCATTGATTTCTCTAGGTCTAGAGTATATTGTTCTTATTATGCACTGTCATTATGTGCCCCAAAGCCTCACTATGATCGGGTTGAGTGTCTCTTGTTTCAGACGGTCACTCTTCCCTTGTGTATTCAACTTTGCAAACCTTGTTCGCCTCCCATTTCAAATGTAATGGGTTATCATGTCATATCACAAAGAAAGATCGGTTTAGTGTCTCTTCAGCGTAAGTGACTGTGGGTTTTATCTACAGCCTGACTCACCCCATTCTTTTGTTTTTATTTTTGTTGTTTTGCATCGGGGTATTTCAGATCCTATGGGGACGTGGGTTGAGNATTTCTACCGGAGGTTGGTGATCCCAGTGTTTTACCAGACGCGTGGCATTGTGGTCTGCAGAGTAAGCGATCCTTCACGGACACAACCGATTTGTGTGCCGAGCCCCAGGCTTTCCTGGATGATGAAATAGAGAAAGGGAAGTATGTGTACACGAAGTTTACCGCAGGTTCGGTTGTGTGGGCTAAACTGAACGGTGAGTTTGGGATTTTANATTCCATTTTATATTATTCCAAAGGGATTTGTTGAACCCCCCTGTATTTCAGTCTTAACCAACTTTGTGTTTAGAGTCAGTACTTGTCACTAAGGGCTATCAGATAGTTTAGAAGAAAATGACCAACCATCCTTATCTTTAAATACCAATCTTCTCACTTTACAGTAAAGTCTGTTGCGCCGACTACTGATTGACTTTTATTGATAATGAAAACCTTGTATCAGTTGTTATGGTTCGCTCTGATGTGATCTGCTCGGAATATTGGATAAAAACTTACCATGCGGAGGTTTGAACTCCTGCTGAGCTGATAAACAAGCACCAGTTGTTGTGTGGCCTAACGCCTTTGTTGGATAACTCTTGTATACATTGCTCCCATTGATTGCGCAATATCCACGCAGGCGCACACATAGACAAACATACGTGCATATGACACTGACGTTCCTCATGTGGGACCTTGAATACATTGACCAATCAGACTGCACCAATGTCTGCTTGTTATTGATTGGCTGACTGCTGACGGCTTGCACGACCGGTACCGGCTGATGACATGCTTTTATCGTTGTGCGTGAATTATGATGTTTCCAGTTTTCGCCTAATCAACGGATTTGCGGCCGTGCATATCATGATTTCTATTGAATACAACGCCAGTAATGTGCCAGTAATGGTGCTTCCAGAGTAAATTCTTGACTCACTCAACCGAGGTTTGGCCGTAAATATAAAGTTTAAAGGATAAACTGTCAAAAGCGATATGATATTTTTCTCAAAATGTTTTCCTACGATGTGTGCATTATGTGCATTCCTGTCCTCAGGAACGCCCAAAAATCTGAACGAATATCCAGGACATGAAACGCTATAAGACGTCTGCCCTCTTGGAGGTTGGAGAGCATGTCTATTAGGAAGGCTCAAACACCATTTTCTAAAATCTTGAGGAAGTATTCGTACCCCCATCAAGGGGAAATCAATTGTTTCACCAAATTTGAAGAATGGCTTTTTCCGTGTTTGTTGCAACCACAGTGGATAAGTCTGGGTTTCTTGCAAACCGTGGTTTCCTCGATAAAACCCTACCCTCCGTCAGCTTTTCGAACACCACCACTTGTATAGATGGAAAACCCTTACCACATTTCTGGAGACTGTTTGCAGAAGTCGGGAGTACCCGATAATCATGTTTCGGTACCACTAGACCTCGATGAAGGTCAGGCTTTGTGGTGATGGCCTTCTACTTTTGTTACCCATCTTCAGTTACTTTCTATACGTAAATTGAATAACAGCCATTTAGTTTCATTCTGGAGAAAACGTCTGAGCCTTTGGAACATTCCGATGATATTGCCTTGATCGGTGACAATACAGAAGTCATGCAAGATACGGTTAACCTCTTGGTGATTGCGGTCGTTCAGAATGACACGTGCTTTACTGTTTCAAGGGTCTCAGTAGCATTTTTTGTTGAATAGTTTCAATGTAGAATGGGTTGAAAGCGTAATCAATCTCCGTAGTTACCTGACGGCTGCCGGAGGTAGTAGTCAGAAGAGTTGTCGATACATAACGAAAGAAAGATTGCGGTTTGCTAATTTTCACCACTTCTGCCACCTCCTTGACGTATTCTTTTCGATGTAAGAGCGTTTGAGTAGCTCAACGGCTTCCGGTCTTGTGCGCTTAGGCTTTAAATTGTCGTCGACTTGAGACTTGATCCCATCAGCGTAGCCCGAGGAGTTCCACAAGGGGTCTGTGCTTGGTCCTCAACTTTTTCTAGTTTTCATAAACGATCTAATGGACTTTCGAGGGCCACAAGCATTAATGTTTGCAAACGACGAAAAAATATGGAAAACAGTAACAAAACCTGAGGACTCACGGACACTTCAGAGAACACTTTGTGCTGCTTATTAATGGTCGATCGAAAATGACATTGACTTCAATGCGCCAAATTGTACTGTAGTATCCCTTCACCAAAAAACTCGGTTTCCGTACTTCCTGGGACATCGATAATTTCCGGATCTCGGTGTCATTGTTCAAGACCACCGAATTTTTTTGTATATTACTTTCAGCCGTCATCCACTGCTGCCAGACATGTTGGTTTGCTAAAGCAAGTATTTGGCAAATTCGAAACTATGCTGTTCCTGCGTTCGTTATCAGCCTACATCCGACACCACGTAAAGTATGCCATTCGAGCGTGAAATCCATGGCTACAACGTAATCCTAGGATTTTGTAACGACCACAAAGAATGTCCACCTAAGCGGGCAAGGGACTGCATTCAAAGACTTTTATGGAAAGACTGGAATCATCGGGGTTGTACTCCACACAGTATCGCCGAATTCCAAGGGGCTTGATTTCGGTGTATGAAATAATACATAACTCTGGTCATCTATGTCTTTTAAGTAGTTTTTATCCTGAAAATGAAGCTTAAAAAATGAAAAAATAATAAAAAATGCCTGTTGTAACCAAACGAAACAGAAATATTTTTCCTCCTATCCGGATTCAATTGTCTGTTTCTCTTTTGTTCTGTACAAACTCTGGTTATTTTTGCCATTGTGAAAACGTATATCTTTGAGTTCTGTTTTACTCAAATACTCGACCTTCTTAGTTGACCTCAAAGCCTTTTTTCTTCGTTCATTTTCTGCATGAGAGCTGATAAGCTAGTGGATGATGAGAAAGAATATGACCATATACGGAGGACTTCTTTAAAAATCACAAATGACTGGACGATTGACTGCAATGGACAAGTATTCGATTTACAAAATAAATGGAATTTAATGTCATTCAAACTCCCTGTCTAATCCAAAGAAGCTCCATAGGTTGTACAACCATTGAGCCAACTTCTAACACAGTCGATGAGTCACAATGTCTTTGAAGTTCATATCGATCGAAAACTTAGGCAAAGCCCATAGGAAAATCATTGTTATGCACACACTTCTAGCTATGCGACAGTGGTGTGGCGGGTGTTGTCGCCAACACCACCATTATGAATCGGAGTTCGTCGGTTCGAATTTAGCCACCGCCTCAGTTCGAAACTTTCTCGGTTTATTCCTCTGACGTTATGGTCATGTTCTGTAATTCAATCATTGAAGTGACCATTACTCCAAAAACACTTCCATTATTAGGGGATTTCTATTTTCCCCACACGGGTAATTATCTCACATTTTTCCCAAAGATAAACGAATTCCCTCAGCTGAATGAAGCTTTCTAAATGAGAGGCGTTTTTCAAGAATGCTCTGAAATTTTTCACCAATTTGAAAATTACTTTATGCACTCAAGAAAAGGTGCCGGCATTCTGATTGAAAAGTGTAACCCCCAAAAATAATTCCTATCTTTCACTCTCTGTTCAAATGGACCATGAATATACTTAGGTTATCCAGAATGGCCTGCTATGGTTGATTGTGATGCCACCGGACGCTACGCTGACTACGATGAACAAACGGGAGAGGTGCTGCGATATTTTGTGGTATTTTTGGATCCGAAAACGCCCACACGACAACGAATTCAACCGCATAAAATCAGAAAGTTCGTTTCTGGTGATGAAGTGAAACAAACGCGTACAGTATGTTCACATTGTTGGACGATCTTTTATCACCGGATCAAACTGCATTTATTTACATTTTTTAATTTTTTATTGATAATTGACACCGGGTTAACCGGAAGAGGACTGTGGTCCAGGCATCATCACGGTGTGTACCTTTTTCTCTTCCCATTGGGCGATGAACTGCGTGTCTTGATAAATAAAGGTCTGGTGTTGTTTTTCAATTTGATATAGTTTTCGTGCATTATTTGTCATAGAATTCAATTGTAGTTCATGAACACAGCTATTATCAGTTTTAGTAACCTTGAGAGGGAGTTCCATCGGGAAAATAGTGAAGCTTTGCTTCTTTAACAAATAATGAGATACAATCCAGCGACATTTATCAGTTCAGTTCACATCACCGTCAGCCAGGCACTTTCGCATGGTGTTGTTTGTTGCAATCTTCCTAGCCACCTATTTGAGTGAAGGAATGGCGAGAAGAAGTCGAAAGCTGAGACGGGTCAAATGGTAACTATTCGGAATGCATTTGGATTAAATTTTCGAAGAAATTTATTAAATGCACGACACAGCTATCTCACTTGGTGTCTCCAACCATCTATTTTATTGATTATTTATAGAAATTCCATCTTTACAAACACAGCGCCAGAATAACCGTGGGTTGAACGCGAAATATAGAAGCAGAAAAGGAGAAACACAAACAGTCAATTACGGACATGACAATCTTTGTTTGCTTGTTCACTGCGTGCAATTTTTGACTTTTTGTTTGTTTTATTTTTGAGAATTCATACAGAAAAGGGTGCAGTCACACCACTAACAGTTCGATACCATATTCCGCAATGTCTCCAGACAAAAGCAGTCTGAAACTTTAGGGTCCCAGCGGGAAAGCCAGAGCTAAAGCCAAATCCAAACATAATTCCTTTAATCCTTTACGTCACGTCACAGCCTACCCACATTGATGTTTCTGCCAACCGGATCGAATGTCTGCAAATAGTGCACAATATGACAGGCTTTGTTGAGGCATTCGTAGGACGTACCCTAGACCCTTCAGACAATGGAATGAAATAGTTTCGCTCAGTGGAAGACTATCTGACTCTAACACGTGTCGTCTGCTCCATCATAACGAACTAACTCAATGATCAAACGATTCAGCGTGTTCTGAATCGCTGGTGCGTTGTCAGCGAGTAATGTAATATCATTGGCGTACTATCAGTCTCCAACTGCCTCCAGGAAGAAGCTCAACGCAGCGTTCTTTGCGTTTCGTAACGCTTTTTGCCGAAAATGCTCTATGTCAAATTTGAAGAGAAACAAAGATATAGGGCAACCATGTACCGCGCTGGTGACAGGATATTAAGGTGCGAGTTCACAATAGACCCTAGTCTTCCCCGAGATCTGATGATAGAGTGCTTTTGGAATCAGGACATACTTCTTAGGTATTCCGTATCTCTGCAAACAGTTCCATAGTGCGGGGTGATTGGTGAAGTCGAAGGCCGCTCCGATGACCAAAACACGACAATAGCTTGGCCTCCACATGCGTGGCGGTGTTCTAGCAGCTGATGAAGATTAAAGGTTTTGATATATGCAACGATGGCATGCACGAAATCCGGTCTGCTCTTTGCAGAATGGTCTTTCACGAAGTTGGCCCCGTTTGCTTTATAAAACACGCAAGCAGCTTCGGCGCTATTTGGAATCGGACTTATGTCCGTATGCTTCGAACAGGCATTGCTACAGCCCTTGTTGGGTTTAAAAACCGATTCTACCAACGTATTTAGTACAGTTCCAGACTTTCCAAAACAGTCTGAAAAGCTCTCTTACGGGAGCTTCTTCACCTTCTTCAAAGAACGCCGGTGATAGGTTGACTGATCCAGACGCCTTGTGGCGGTTTAAGGCTTGGAGTTCATTTCAGATCTCCGGTTGTGTGGGCTGGTCCTTGGATAGTGACCAGGGTCCACTCTCAACGGAACTATTTGGGGTAGTCTGCACGGAGGCTCGTTGAACTGCGAAGTGAAGAACTCTTCCCAGCGTTAAAAGTGTCGTTGAAGACTGAATTTTAATGTGCTATCTGCTTCCAAAATGATTTCACTAACTTATTCTTCCGGGATCAGTGGCTCGGATGAGTCGGAACAGTTACCGAGTGTTTCCACATCGAGCTGCCCATTCCATCTCGTTTTCACGTAGCTTCCATCAGGCTTCTTGGTCTTATCTTAAGCTCTTTGTGAGCTCATGCTTCGGAGAGAAGCGTTGTTGATTGTACTCGCTGTCTTCCGGGAGTGTCCGACGAGCATCAAGTAGTCTGTGGTAGTTGGAGGAGATCCATTGCTTTACAACTCGGCGGGTTACACCTCAACTATATATGTTGTTGTTGTGTTCTCCGAGCTGAAAGTCTTGTTCGCAGGCGTCTTGTAGTCAGGCTAGGCAACGTCACTGCTTGGCGAAATCAAGCTAATAGCATCAACATCGCATAGACAACTTGGCCAAGTTGTAGTGCAAGTGGAGAGACCAATACGAAACAGTAGTTTTTCACACATGCNCACATGCTCTCCATCTATATCTAATAGCAATATGATCTTAATGAAAATGAAAAATGTTCCATGATTTGCATGTGGGCGGAATGCTCCCAGGTTTCCCAGGCCAATGAGAGATGAGAATTTTATTTCCATTATCTGAACGACAACTACCCAGGTCGTGGTGGTCACAAAGAAGGGTCTCGTCGGGCCACCGACGACCAATCCGTGCGTTTAGGTCTCCGGCTAGAATCACGATATCCGACTTAGGTGCTTTGAGAAGAAGTTCTTGTAAGCTGTGATAGAAGGCATCTTTAACTGCATCCAAGTCGCCGTCTGTGGGAGCGTATGCAGGAATCAGGGATAAGTACCGCTTATTCGATTTCTGCTTATTGGTTTTCCTTGAGCTTCAGAGTCTCACTGTACGTGGATGGCTGTCTACCGGGATCCAGTCCATTAGTGCAGCCTCGGCCATGACGCTTAAGGCGATACCAACGCCTGCTGGATCAGGTGCTGATAGGACAGGGTGGTTTACAATCAGGGCTTTAGCCGA